TTGAAATGATAAAATAAATTATAAATATATTGAAAAATAAATATGTATTAGTTAACTCCTCCACAAAACATTAAGAAGTATAAATTTGAATCAGAATTAGGAAAAGGTACTTTTGGTATTGTCTGTAAATACATAAAAGATAACGTTCCTTATGCAATCAAAATGGAATACCCATGGAGATATTCTAATTCTATATCGAAGGAAAAAAAAATTTTAAAACAACTATAAGAAAACATTTCTAAAAATAAGCCTAAATTCCCTAAATATATCGAAGATGGATAATTCTAATTGACTTTGGAATAAAAATACAGCGTTTAGTACATTGTAATAGAATATCTCGAATAGACACTATAAAACTACTATGTAGATTTAATAAATTCAGACAATGCTATCCTAGGTAAAGCCAAGATGACTGAGTAATTGATCTCAACTTTAGAATGATTTCATTCATTGAACTTCATTCATAGAGATATAAAGCCAGAAAACTTCATGGTAAAAGATGGAGATATTTATCTTATAGATTTTGGTTCCTCTATTGAATTCGATCTGAATAAATTTTAGTTGGATAAAGAATGGGAACCAACAGGAACTCCATTAACTATGTCAATATTTGCTTTATAAAAGTATTACTCTTGCTAAGGAGATGACTTGATTTCGACCTTGTATACCATTTTATATCTTTAAGATCCAGATTGTTTACCTTGGATTAGTTACTGCAATAATTTAAATAATGATAAACCATAAAATTAAAGCGAGACCAATAATAAAATTAGAGAATTTAAGGAAAACTTGAATGAAAACTCATAAAAGTTAGATGAAAGTTCTAAAGAGATTATCAAGCAAATTAAATCATTAGAAAGGCTTAGAGAAACTCAGCCAGATAAGTTTTCAACACATATTGATTATAAAAGCATAAATGAAGCTATTTAATAGTCTTATAAAAATGAACTGCGTGCTGTTGAATAAATGACATCTTCAGATAAAGCTTTGTCTGAATAAACCTATAATGATTAAAGATAAGATAATGCCGAATAGAATTAAATTGAAGAATTCGATAAATAAAATATCAATGATGATTTAGAATCTTAAAGTTAAAAGCACAATTTGGATTAATCATAGAGCTATAATGATAAAGATCAAAACGTTAATATTAAAATTGATGATATACAGCTAATTACAAATTAGAGCCAAGATTAAGACCAAGTTTATAATCAACATGAATAAAAAATAGAACAAACTTAATATAAAATTGAAAATTAAGATACTTAGTTTCAGAGTTTCAAAAACAGCAATCCCCCTAATTACGGATCAATTGTTTAGTTAAATAGAGAGAAACTCAATGCTGATAAATTATTGCATGAAAATGTTGAGACAATCTAACCAAATAGAGGTAATGAATTCGAAAAAGGTCATCAAAAAAAAGAAAGAAGAGGTAAAGATTAAAACAAAAATTATAAAAGATATGATTAGGATATAGATAATCATCGGTGCTGCTGTCAAATTTGTTGAGCATTTTATTATATATATATTATTTTTATCATTCTTAAAATTTTTATTTCTTTGTTTTTAGGGGTTTTGGGGTTTTGGGGTTTTGGGGTTTTGGGGTTTTGGGGTTTTGG